GTAAGTGAAAAAAAATAAAAAATAAGAAATTAAAAAACATTAATAAAAAATAATAATTTATTAAATAATAAAAAAAATTAATATGAAAAATAAATAATAATAATAATATAAAAAATAATAATATAAAAAATAATGATATTATAAATAGTAATAATATAAATAAAAATAATATAAATTAGTTGTTTCCTTACCTTAATGGAGCTGTTGCCTACCTCGGAACTGCTTTCGCATTACTTCAGGACGTCGTTCCTTTTATGATGCGTTCCGGTCCCGCTTTTTTGCACGTATTCTGACCACAACTTCCTACATCTTTCCACTGGCAGTAAAAAAAATTATAATAATAATAAAAATAAAACTAATAATAAAAATAAAGCTATTAATAAAAATTGAACTAATCAAAAAAATATAAAAAGTAATACTATTGAAAGTAATAATAATAATATAAAAGTAAAAATAATAAAATTAAAAATAATATATTAATAATAAAAGTAGCAATAATAATAGTAATAAAAATTATGAGAATAGGAAAAAAATTTATAAAAATGATATCAATTAAAATAATAATAATAATAATAATAATAATAATAATAATAATAATAATAATAATAATAATAATAATAATAATAATAATAATAATAATAATAATAATAATAAAATGACGGCGCCTTTTAGCCGATCAGAAGATTATCACCCGAATAATAAAAGCAATAATATTAATCATAATTAAAAAAATGTTCAAAATATAAAAATAATAAAGTATATAAAATAATAATAATATAAAAATAATAATATAATAATTATAATAATTTATAAGTTATTATTAATTGAAATAAGATAAAAAATAAAACAAAAAAATTAATAAAAAGAAAAAAAAAATAAGAAATAAATAAAAACTATGAAATATATAAAACTTGTAGAAATTTTAAAAATAAAAAATATATTCTCCTACGTAAATGAAACGCATATATGTATGTGAAAATTTTTATCTTAGTTAAGCTCACTTATTTTTGTTTACGCTTTGTTTGTTCATGTTAAATAAAAAAGAAAAAAAAAAATAAAAAAAAAAAAAATATTTTATTTATTTTACCATAATGACGTAATAAAGAATTGAAATTTTTAATGATAATATTTAATGATGCAATCAAATTCAATACACTAATCATAGTTTTCAAGCCGACTTTTGTGCAATTTAGAATGTAGTTAAATATTTTATTGTTATATCTACACATTTATGTATTTATTTACCTAACTAATGTTTCATTATATGTATTTCAGTTCTCTTTCTATCTATCTATCTTTTAAATATTTTCTAATGTACACAAAAACAAAAATGCATATTTGAAATTTTATATTTTTCAATTCAAAATGTTTTATGGTCTACTGTAAATTTAAGTGCAGGTTGAATGCAATAGTATATGTAACTGTAATGAAAAAAATATAATAAAATAAATAAATGCATTAAAAACAAAGTCAGTTTTGTAATTTTTTGCGTCATCGTGTCTTGGATGTGTCACGTGCAATGTGAGTATGAAAGAGCTGGCTGTACATAAAATACACTTGGAGACCATTTTACTGTAGACCGAAGATCTTTTTGGTACTCGTTGAATTTCTCATTGGGTTTTCTTTTAATATACCCAAGGCCTTCTCCACGAACAACGATTTGGCTGAAAAAATTCCCTAAAATAGTCTCATTTTGCTTGATTATATAATACTGCGCAAGTATGTTAGGCAGCCAGACACAAAATCTTCAATGCACTTTCAAAAGTTAGCTCTTAATTTTTTTCGTGGCCGCCTAATGGTTTTATGTGCAGGTGTAAGTTATTTTAAAAAGGGAAAAATGATTAAAATACGTGTAAATATCGGATCGAGTTGAAACGAGTATTCATGCACTACTTACGACCAAAACTGCTGTATTCCTGGTCGTGTCTTTAGTTTGAAGAACAATTCTTTACTCTTCCCATACCGAAGAGCGCTTCATCCATTGTTGAATGAAAATAATGATTTATTTTTTTTCGATCAGACACTCACAGATGACATGCTTTGCAATCGCCTCACTTGTTTTCCTCTGCCAGACCTAAATTAAAGGCAATTTCCACTACTAGAAAGCCATATTAACATACTCATAATTGCTGACACGCGTTCACGCTTCGACGGAAGGACTATGAGTTTCAGATGTGCGTACAATCTGCGATTCTATCATCGGCAGACACAGAAAAGGTTTGACGTCGAAAAGTTGCAGTCCAAACAGACAGCCAAGAAGTTTTTTACTCGACATGCACTCCTGATCTTTGATTGCACTCATCAACAACTCGATATAAGGGAACGGTGGATCGGAATTTCAAGCTTCCTTCGTAGAGTCACAACCGAAACTACTACAACGATGAGCAATGTTGTGATCGATCATAACGCGAACGATATGCTAAACAAACCGAGAGTTTAAGAGGGAAGCGAGATGCATTTGCAGGTAGAACAATGAAGAGGGTGTTGTCTTTGTACCATATCGAGTTTGTTCAAATTCATTCGATTTCGATGATTTCGTATATATGCTATAGTTAGCCGATCTAGCCGGTTCTGACAAACGATGGATGAAATGTGCCAGTGCATCTGTTTACCAAGTTTGGTTAAATTATCTGAAAAACTGCTGGTCTAGTTTGGCCGAAGCAGCTCAACTTGTAATTCTGATCATATGGGCATACATTTTGATTGGTCTATCTCTTCGTCTTCTGGTACTTTATTTAAGGACCATATTTTGTTCCTGTAAGAGCGAGAAAGAAAATCTGAGGGCAAATATTCAGAATACCAAACAACAAAAAATCCACATCCGTATATAAGGTCTTATCGAGCGCATCATGTAAAGTACTAAAATCGACCATCAGACCCTACCAGTGAACTTCAGACGTCGTACGACCTAACATTGACCTAACATTCACCACGTATTAAATTTGAAAATTGATCAACACACTTTGTGTCCACTGTAACTGAACCATTGCATTACTTAATATTTGTCTGGGTAAACAGAAGCTTAACAACACTCGAAACGCAGATAAAGTAAGGAAGAAGAACTCCGACCCGTTCGATAACAAACTAGGTTTCAGACGAAGTGACCGTCAGAAGAAAATTAAATAGAAATGATGAGAGTATACTCGCGTAACTGCGAAGATACGCCGATTATATTTAACCGCGCCGATATTTTTGCTTTCTTCACACTGGTTAAAGAAGCGAAGCGCTTTAGTCTGGCAGTCAACGAGAACTTGGCGTGCTGTCTGCTGTTATAAAACAATAAGTCAGCCGCAAGTTAAGACTGGGCTCTCACATTACTTAAGCTTCTTTGAAGTGAGTAGAGAACTGAAAGTCCTCTCTCGACAGACAAATATTAAGCTCATTAAGCCACCCATCATTCCTATAGTGTAGTATTTTTGGCGGAGTAGAACGACGGAGTAGGAACGACGTCGAATACTATTGGGAATGGGAAAATGAACTGAATAACATTTTGTATGTTACTGCGGAAGCGAATTTCTGTCAAGCTCCTCATCTCCAATGGATGGACCTATAGTTTATTCCAAATCGCCTCTAAACGGCCGATGGATTTTTATCAGGAGCTCTTATTTCATGTCAAAAATACACTCGGAGGGCTTGACATTCCCTGCCAGGGAATAGTTCAACGAAATAAGGCGTAGTCGTATCTAGACCAAGTAGTCTGAATGTGCGGAAAGTATTCGCTGCACTCGCTGATGGAAGTAGATGTAAAGATCAAAAGGAGAACTATGAGATGTGACAATTAAGTAACCCTGCGACCTCTCCCTCTCCTGTATTTGCCATCGCTCTAGCTTGTTCGATGGCATAAAGAGTTTACTCTTAAGCAGGGGCGTGAAAGCGCGGAGCGGCAGACCAGTCTAGGTGCGGACTGACACGAATGCGCAGTATGTGCATGCTCTAATCCGAGAAGATCGACTTTTAACAAGGCGAATGTTGGCATCGGAAATGGGTATGAGCCATGAAACAGTCAGACAAGTTTTAACCGACTGGATGCTTCGACAACGCGCCGTCTCACACTGTGCTCAGCGTCTCCCAGTATTTGGACTCTAAAGGGATCGCCGTGTTGTAACAGCCGCCTTATTCGCCCGATATGTTACCCTGTGACTTTTTTGTTCCCTAGAACAAAATCGATGATCAAAGGAACCCATTTTGAGTCGACTGAGGACATACAGGCGGCCGCGACTAGGGCACTCGCGGACATCCCAGTCGAAGCGTTCCATAAATGTTACGAAGCATTGAAAACGCGCTGGAATCGTTGTATAGCTGCCCAAGGGGACTACTTTGAAGGGGATGGTAGAGTTGTAGCATAATTTTGAAATACACGGTTTTTATGGCTTCAGTCTCATTACTTAATTGTCACACCTGGCCTTAATTGGTGTCCACTATTGGCGGCAAACACAACTTTTTTTTGTTGATTCCACGAAAATCGTGTAATGTCAACGTGAAAGGTGAAAACTTTTAAGACAAAAATAAACTTTAAGTTAATATAAGAGTAATTTTAGTTCTGTACAGCATCATTAATTTGCGTTTAGGTCAACCAGATTTGAAAAATAAATAAATGTGCCATTCAGATCTTTTCGGTATTAGAAACATTTTATGTGCTCATATACTTAATGAAATACGATTGAGCCGAACAACTGTACCAGTTCCATGAAGTTCACTCAATGACTCATTGCCCACAACAGTTTTACTGCTGTTTAGTGTTTTTCGTCTTTGCATTAGCAACTTTTAGTTTCATTTTGGGCGGCATACGGTAAAGAAGTCGTAGTGGCGACCAACGGAGCGACTTTTGTGCGGTTTCAAGAGACTTGTCTGCTGAAAAGGTTGTTTATTTCTTTTCTTTTTTTTGATTTAGGCAGTAAACAAGTTCGGTTAATAAAGTGTGAGTATGTTTACCATAAAAGATATATTGCTTAGTCACATATAATTTTCAACGTGTTACGAAAACATTTGTTAGCGTACATGACACAAGAATGATGAATAAGAGTATTGTGGGAATTTGAAAATAAAAATCTGGAATTTCATAATGGAACATGTGGGCTGTGATAAATGCACTGACTGACGGGTGTATACGAGTTTATAACCAAATGAATAAATTATAATAAATAAATTTGTGAATTCAAGTACATTTATGCTATGCATTAAAGTTAAACGGGATAATAAATTAACGTAAGAAACGAAATGTAAATAATATATATGTATGTATGTATCAGTTTAAAGCGACACATGTGCGGAAAATAATAATAAAAATTAATATTTGTGTTTGAAAGTATCAAAAATGAGTTGTGACATTTGCCAATTGCCATTTCAATTCGTGTATCTTTTAAAATTTTGAAACGATTAAAAGCTCAAATAAACTAATCTCTCAATTAACTACGAGTACAAGCCAACTACCGAGAGCTCACATCATCGAGGTTCACCCCATGACCTAATGACTGTTAAAACTTAGTGCTCAAATCAACAGCAACTGATGTCTAATATACAGATTGAAAGCAAGCGCACTAAAATTCCTATAAAATATTTGACTCAGCCAATCCGTCGGTTTGTACAATAATTTCCATAAATATTTGTTGGAGTCATTCAAAAAATTCATGGAAAACAAATTTGAAATACAAAGTAGCATTACACATTCCAAATAATGAAAAACAATTATAAAACCGTTATTTGTCATTGTAAAATTGATTGAGCGCGCGCAATAGCTGGGAGGTAAGCTGTGCGTTCTATCATGCGGATAGCCATGAGTTCGAGTCCGAACCCCCCGAATATCCAAAATCATAGAAACTTAATTTTTATACCATTCATGTGCATGGACTAATAAATTAACTTTGGTCCGAAGTAAGTAAGTACCAGAAGTATGCATCATAACCTTTCTATGTTTGGAGTAAAAAATCCGTAAAAAAAAGCATCTAGGTGCGTGAATTTCCTTGTTATACACACGTTTATCGATCAGTGCGAGCATTTCTATCAGTTTTTCCTTTAGTTTTAAAATTATAGAAAGAAGTTCTGAAAAGAAAAATTCAAATTTTTTGCTCAAAATGTTCGAAAAACTTCGAATCGCTCGAGCTCGCGCTCGAAAACTTTCGGCAAATAGCAATGAGCAATGCACGAGTGCAGAGAGTATTCGTATTCGAGCTGCTCAAAAATGTTCGAGCAAAGTCCTTAGCTCAAATATGTGTAAATGAACTTCTTCTTCTTGCCCTTTTAGCTGCAGTTGGAAATACCTGATTTCACTAGTCGTTCTCCAGCTGATCTTTCCAACGTAGTGAAGGTCGTCCTCTGCCTGTGCTTTCATCACTCGGCTGCATCCAGTACATTCAAAGCTAAATTGTTTTCATTCATTCGGTTGACTTGACCTAACTAGCGTAGCCGCTGTCTCTTCATTTGTTGAGCTATGTATGTATATAAATATCATGGTATATCTCGTACGGTTCATCGTTCCATCGTCTGCGGTTTCGCCATTGCCAACGCGCAAAGAATTATATATCGCTTGCAAAACTGTTCTCTCGGAGACTGCTGAGGCATTATAGCAAGATGAGAATGATGATGGCTTATTTGTAGGGCTTGGTTTTGATTTGTCAAGTGGGGACTCTACTTTTGAATTGCTTACTCAGTTTAAAGGGGCAAATGGTGGAAAGAGTGATTCTGCGTTGGAGGCTGACATTGTTGTTGGTGTTAATGATGGTCCTTAAATAGACGAAATTATCTACAACTGCCAACAGTAACATGGGAGCCAAAGCGCGAATGTTCAATTGTTTGTTTGATGACAAAAGATATTTCATCTTGCCCTTGCTCACTACCAGACCAATTCACTTCACTTCCTTATGCAGTCTGGGGAAGGCAGAGCTCACAGCGCGGTTGTTGTACATAGTAACTTATCTATTTTGCATTATTGCTCTTATAACTTCATTCAGCATCATATTGAACAAATCACACGATAAAGAGTCACTCTGTCTCAGAGAGGTGCTTCTCAATTTTAACTACGCTTCTGGTGTTTCCCAGCGTCAGTTTGCATTGTCGTATAAGTTTTACGGAACGAAAAAATTCTGACATAGCGGGGTAGAGACAGCACCTTACTGGGCTGCCAGACACAGTTTTGAAACCGATGAAAATGTAGTGTGTGTCAATTCTTTTCTCACGGGTCTTTTCCAATGTTTGACGCTTTTTCGATGGACAAATTGGGTGTATTGGGACTGTATGTTATAATGGTCCGAGTTCACTAATTTTCAGTGCCAATGTCTCTTTATAGATACAAATTTATAGTACAAATTTAATGCTCTTAATTAGTTTATTGAAGTACCTATGGCCCCGAATCACATAACTTAACAAATCGGTTGTATTGTGGATTATTTGTTATAGTAGTGCGATCTGTCCGGTTCCATCAAAAGATTAATACAGCATAAAAATACATCTGCTTACTAAGTTCAGTTTGCGTACAAACAGATGGACAGATGTACAGATATAAAGGGCTAAACCAACTTAGCTCCCCATTCTGATCAGTTAAGTATAAAGCTATACAAATGTTTGGCAATCGGATTCTACAAGTCCGTGTAACTCAAAAATGTTCGTTATTTTTTGAACAAACCCTGTGCATAAGTAAGTGAATATATTTAAAAAAAAGTATGATTTCAAGTTCTAAATCAAACTTAATTTTTGCGTGCCTGACTTTGAAACAAAAGACTTAAGACACAAACCTGATTCACGTGGAACAAAGTTATCATGCCATTACCATACATATAAAATGTGTGAACAATTGTATATGCTTAACTAAATAAGTATATATACTGATGTATAAATATGCCTGCAGCAGTTTTGTGGATGCATTTAATTTGGTAACTATTGGTTTGTCAAAAATTTGAGTACTTTTCTTCTGTTACCTTATCAGGAAAAAGTGTGTACATAACTTAATAATGTCGCGGTTAGACTTAGTGTCACCAGTTTTGGTGAAATCGGTGAGAGAAAAACAAGCCAATTCAAATAGAGTATAGTAAATCAAGATCATTATTCAAATAAATACAAAGCACATTCCTCGTTTCTCATATTTTGATCATTGATTCATTTCGAGTCTCGAAATTTTTTAATGAAAAAAGCACAGAAAATTCAAATTTAATGAGGAAAGTTTATTATCTTTCGAAAGAAAATTCTTTGGCATTTTTCTATCTCTTTTAAATATTGGTTGTGGCTACATCTCATATGGTTCATCCGTTGAGTCCAATTATCGATGACTCGCTCGATCATTTCGACTAGTAATTGGCAAATGACATGCGTGATGTTTTGCTCTAAGACCTGTATCGAAGCGCAATAGTCCGATAGACCTTAGACTTTATATATCCTCATAGAAAAAGGTCTAACGGTGTGCTATCACACGAACTTTGTGGCTAATTAAACGGCGCAAAACTTGAAATTATCTGCTCACCGAAGTGTTCACTCAATAAATCTATTGATAGCACCGATTGCAGGCATCAAATAGTCGGTTATCATGATGCGATGGTACGATAACCGAATGTGAATTTTTGTAAGAATGTCGAACGATTTGTAAACGTTGTTCAAGCGTAAGTAAATTCATGATGAATTGCCAAGCAATACTGAGCAAAAATAACATGACATGACAGCTTGACACGACTCACGTTCACGATCTATCAAATAAGGTTGGTAAAGAAAGTACCTCTACTTGGATCACCCGTTGCTTTAGTCAGCAACACATACATTTATTTAATAAGCCATATTCGTATGTATGAGTATACACCATTCTTTACTCTTGATCACCTACCTACGATTTTCGGCCTTCAACTTATCGCTCATTTTGCTATTCAAAAGCAATTGTTAAACAATAGTTTTGGTTCACTTTGGTAAATATGAAAGTGATCGGTGAATGGTGATTATGTATGTGCTTGCGCTTTGCATTGAACAGGTTTGTACTCATTTTGAACTGACTACAAGATTAACGGTTAGGAACTATATCAAATAGTAACAAAAAAACAATAATTATTATATAACATTTCACCAGTTTGATGTTGGTGTATGAAAAGGATTTTATGTTACATATAAAAACACACTTTAGATGGAAGAAACAAGTTTACTAGTTTTTGCCATTCGACGTCAGCTACTGGATGTTAATTCTGAAATTTGTTTAGTTTTTGTTTGTGAGTATTTTATCACTACAAATATTAAGTTATATAACCATCATCCTGTTTCACGTTTTATATCTTTCATGAATATTAAATGGGATATTAGATTTGGTTCGTAGTATGCAAGTACCAGAAGGAGAAGAGATAGTTAGTTAGTTGATTAGGTTGCTCAATCATGGGGTTCCTTGATTAAGCGCATTTCCGACTTGAGGTACCAATGGCGAGTCTATAGAAGAGATTCCTCTCAACTTTCTAATGAAACACATAAGATTGTTGACACATGTTGACTCTATATCTGCAAAGCAATTAAAATAGAAGTTATATAGGAGACGATGTGGGCCTGCACTTGAGACGGGGCAGTAGCAAAGATCGTGCTCCATCCACTCCTCCTCGGCTATGTCACTGCAGCCGCGACAGAAGTGATTACCAAGTAGCCCATTCTACTACTAAATATTATTCCCCAATATACAGTGTTCTATACTTACATCATCGTAGGTTCTATTTAGAAGTAGCAGAGACTTAGCTCTTTTTGTATTGATCAATGGCCAGATCTGCCTGGTCACATTGTAAGAGGTTTCATCTTGCCATCTGCTATTGGCCTTGCTGGCGAATTCCGAGTTTGGGATGTTTTGCAAAGAAAAGAAGTATTCCCGTATTATGTGCGGAGCTTGTGCAGAATTGGGCGGTTAGACTTGTACTCTTTCTTGCTAGTTCATCGGCCAAGCAATTCTGAGAAAAGGTGGGCTCATAAAAATTTGTACCGATTCTGATTATCAGTATGTCGAGCTTAGGCGATTTATATAATGACTACTAACACAAAAGAAGGGGCGGCCATAATATAAGAAGAGACGAAGACAGACTATTTTACGAAAAATATCAGCAACCCAATCAGTCGGTTGAAGAAAAATGTAGACATCGCATACGTTGAATAAATAACGTAAAAGGAGATGTATGATATATTTCAAAACTATTTTACAACTCTGCCATCCCCTTCAAAGTAGTCCGTTTGGGCAGATATACAACGATTCCAGCGCGTTTTCCATACTTCGTAACATTTTTGGAACGCTTCGACCGGGATGTCCGCGAGTACCCTCGTCATGGTCATCATGGATGGACTCAAAATGGGTTCCTTTGACCACCGATTTTATTATAGGAAATAAACAAAAGTCACAAGGTGAAATATCGGGCGAATAAGGTGGTTGTTGCAACACGGCGAGCTTTTTAGAGGCCAAATACTGGGACACGCTGAGGGCGGTGTGGCACGGCGGGTTGTCGTGATGAAGGATTCAGTTACGAGCGATGTCTGGACGCACCCTGCTGACTCATTTTCGCAATCTTTCAAGTACTTGGCGATAGTAGACTTGATTTACGGTTTGCCCGGGTGGAAGAAATTCTTTGTGGACTATTCCACTATTACGCGTTTTCCTATTTACGTGACGAGCACCACGAACATACGTTTACTCAATACGATACAGCAGGCGAGCTAAACAAGCTAGAGCGATGGCAAATATATCAGTGGAGAAGGATGCCGAGAAAAGCGAAGGGGATCAAGGTCGCAGGGTTACCACAATCGCGGTAAAGGTCGAAAAGCATTTAAGAACTTGAAGTTTGCTATTATGCACTCGAATCTAACTCCCAACTGACATATGAAAAGTAAGAGTTGGAGCGCCAATTATGTCGCTGCAGAATATAAGTCCACAAAATTGTGCAAGGGTACCAGATCATAGGGGAAAGTACAATATTGTATCAAAGTGTAGTAAGTGTAATTCGAATACAAGAGGGTGCCCTTCAAAGTAATCTCGTAATATCCATAAACATAGCTCAAGACCAAACTCTTAAGGCAGCCTCAGTAGACTTGAGAGACAGCTGCTTCTTCCATGTCCGGTCGTATGTGGTATGCTTCAGAGTAAGCTCACAATGTTGCTTGGTGATTCTAGCACCTTATGGAAAATGAAGAAAAATATTGTATCGAAAGATATACTGCTATAGGTATGGGATTCCGCTTTCGAAAGAATATGTCAATTTTCTTTTATTTTCATATTTGCTTAAGTTTTAAATCCCTACGTCATAATAAAAATTGTTACATTTTAAAAGTTTTCCAAAAATTTTATATTTTACTATTAAATATAAAAAAAAAATTATATTGGGTTGCCCCAAAAGAAACCGTCGATTTTTTAAAAGAAAGTACATACATTTTTTAAATTTTATAATGAACTTTAACCAATTATATAATTTCCATTTTGTTGGATGACCTTTCGTCATCTTTCCGGCAACAACATTATTCCACGCTAATGGAACTTCTGGCCTTTGTCTGCAAGAAACTGAACCAAGTGCGATTTAAGGAGTCTAACAGTGCATAGTCAGGGCTATGTGGTGAATGCATCAACAGTTCCCAGACAAGCTCTCTTAGTTTTTAGCGATTGACCAAAGCTGTGTGCGGTCTAGTTTTATCCTGGTGGAACATGACACCTTTAAGTTTGCCCGTTCTTGCTTCTCGTTGATGGATGTTTACAATTTGTTCAGTTGTTCACAGTAGACATCGGATTGGTTCTTCAAAGCAGTTCAAAATATACCACAACCTTCCAATCCCAGCCAACCGACAGCATAATCTTCTTTTGGTGAATACTAGGCTTTGAAGTGTTTGTTTTTTCTGTGTTTCTTTTAAGGCCTTATCATTACCCAAATTATTCAACTTGTTTAGCAACCTGCACTGCATTTTTTCCTTTAAGAAAATTATAAAGTAAAATATGGTTCTTTTGTGGGCTTCACATTTAAATTGATGCCAAACAAACAAATATAAATAAAATTACGCGTACTTTTTTTCCTGGAGCAAGCTTAAAATGACAGCTTATAATGATCAAAGGAAAAAATACAATGAAATAGTCACAAGCTGCTCAAAAAAATCTGTATGAAAAATCACCGGTTTCTTCAGGGCCAACTAAATATACAAAATACTATAAATTAAATATCGTAAAAAACCAACTTAAATCTTCACTAAAAGCATTTACAAATTCCATGCGGACAAAGTCGCGGGTAAACTCTAGTCTACCTATAAACATTGGGTGCGTTCAGCGAATTGAGCGCTCAGTAAACATGCTCAGTGAGCGCTCAGTAAACATGCTCAGTGAGCGCTTACCATATTTGTGAGCGTAAATTATTTATGCTACTTGCTACTGATTGGTCAACTGCTATATACAGAAAAAATGAGCCGCGAAAATTTAAAATCATTTTTACTTGAAGGTGCTTGTGACGACAATTTACCCTATTTTTTGGGTTGTCAAATAGATTTAGTTGCGCCATCTGCACTAGATAAATAGTTTTTCAAAGAAAGAAATTTAAAAGAAAGTACCAAACATTTTTATGGAGATACTGTGCCACTTCACAATTAGTTTCGGCAGTTGAAGTAGCATTACGTTCATGAAAATTAATCGCTCAGTAAAATCGCTCACTGAACATGTTTACTGAGCGCTCAGTTCGCTGAATGCAGCCATTGATACTAAAAATTATCGAAAGAATAATCGATATATAATCGTAAAGTGAAATATCACAAATTTGTTATGCTTATGAAAGGTACTCGTGCAAAGACTTCGGCATGACCGAAAACAATTCTTCTTTCTTGTGTCTTATTCTATTTAATAACTTACCAAATATTATACACTTTGCTTGTATTACGATTCATTTGGCGAAACAAAAATTATTATTTACTTAAAAGAATTTATTGTATTCTATGCTAACTTCATTATTAGCGGACCTCGTCTGTACTTAACTCTCATCTATTTGTTATGATACAATACTAAATAAGTATTAAATGAATGTAGTTAATAATTATTTTCCCAACCTACTTGTTTCCTTAGCGCAACGAACCAGATGGTAATTACTAACGCGAATCAAGCAACATTCCCATAATTTCCTTCGCACTGCTCAAGGTTTGAATAAATTTAAGCTCGACGAAAAATATAATATATAATATAATTAAATCAATCAATTATTTAGGAGCTAATAGTAAACGCGCTCAAATATATTTTGGTTGCTTAGAAAGAATCGCTAAAAGAATATCACAAAATGGCGACACTTCAGAGTGCGTGCATGATTTTGTTGCTCGCTGCAGTGGTTCAATGCAAGGACAATTTGCGCGTTGCCTACGAATGGAAAGAGATGGATTTCAAATACGAGAATGCTGAGGCTCGCTGGACTGCTATTGAAAATCACGAATTTCGTCCGGATAATGTAATACCCTTTGGACTGGAAAAGTATAGGTCACGCATGTATGTTGCTTTGCCGCGGTGGAAAAATGGTGTACCAGCTTCGTTGGCTTATTTCGATACCAGTGGTGAGTGTTTTTCTTCAATATAATGTAAGGTAATATTTTATAAATTATATATATAGTGCTTAAAAAATCATGTCTCATTAAATGGTTACTTAGCTACTTACATACTTAATAATATTGTGGGAAAATGTGGGGAAAATACAAAAAATGCTAAGGAGCGATTTTTAGAGGGAAAAGGGGCGGAAATAAAAAAGAAATTATTTTTCTTTTTAATATACACGGTGTGACCCAAAAATAACCGAATAAAATAAAAATTAAAATACACATTATATTATCTTTGAAAGTTATTATTTATTCAAAATAGGTTCCATTTGACTCAACACAACGTTTGGAACGATCAACCAGCGCATGCATAGATTTTTTTATGTCATTTATAGAAATGTTCTTCAGTACCTCGGTTACGGCTGCTTGAATGGCTGGGATATCATCATAAAATGCTCCCTTCATCTTGGTTTCCAGTTTTGGAAATAAAAAATAGTCACATAGGTGATAGATCAGGCGAATACGGAGGATGGTCGATGAGAGAAATCCCTTTTTCCATTAAAAATTCGAGCGATTTTTTTTTCGTCATTTAATTCATGTGGAACAAATCGCGCACAGACCTTTCTTTTCCCCAAATCCTCAATTAAAATGCTCCAAATAGTGTTTTTACTCGTATTCAATTCCTCAGCCAACATTCTCGTAGTAAAATTTGCATCGATACCAATGATTTCACGGACTTTTTCCACCAGTCCAGCACGATTATTAGTTTTTGGACGTCCTGCTCTAGGGTCGTCATTTAAATCCTTGCGACCATTTTTAAATCGTGTAAACCACGTATAAACTTGCGTACGACTCATACAATCATCACAATAAACTTTTTTCATTAATTTTTTTTCAAGTTTGACACAAAATTTTATATTTGCTCTTTGTTCGATTTTATTTTTGAACCATTAGCACACTTTTGGTTTTATTGAAATGGCTGTCACTTTTACATCTGTCATCCGACTTACATGATGTTAGCTGCGTTTGAAAGATGATGAATGTATCTTTTTAATATTGCAATTTTTCAATAGATGGCGCTGTAAAAAAATATTTTCTATTTATCTTTAAAATACACCGAAACTGCCTTCATCATTTCATCATCGCTGAAAAATTTTTTATTCCCAACTTCCTTTTTGCATTTTTGGAAGCGGGAATAATTGTGCAGGATTTTAAAGTCATTTCTGGTCGAGCATCATCGAGAAGAATTTTTCAACTTTTTGGTTAAGGAGACCCTCCTTTTTATTGGGGAAAAATCTGGGCAAAGTTTGTATATTTTTTGTGGAAGAATGAATAGGCATACGAAATTTCGAATTTGATTATTAAATTCGTTTATTATTTATGATTTTAAAACGGTCGAAACTCAAAATGACGGCTACAAAATGACGCTTTCTAAGCCTCTTGTAGTAGACTGAAATCAAAAATCGTAGTCATTGCCTGAAGATCAAGAAATTTTCTACGTACTACAAATTTGTTGCTTCGTGTTCATTGTAATTATGAACTAAAATTTTTTGCTACTTTTTTCACTTCATAACGTTAAAAAAAATATATATAACAAATTAGTAATGCTATATATATGCCTATATACTTTGCAACAGTTTTTAGATAAACGAAATTAGACAGATAGATCAAGCCCGGGTCTTGGGCTTAGATCGGAAAACATAGTTTCGTGAAAAACGCGTTCAACCTTTTTCCAAATTTCGCAGCGTGCGTGAGACAGGTGTGTTCGAGAAGCTGCCATTTGAAAAATATTCAACGTGCAATACATTGCTTGTCCTTCAAATAGATAATCTACAAATAAATGGCTTTCAGTTTTTGCATAAAAAAATAGATTTTTGATCCAAAATAAGGGGAGGGTCTCCTTAAGTTGTAGCTTGATCACATCGATGCTTCTGCCCGGCCTCGCGTTGCCTTCAAAGGATTCATTTCCTGACGATTTTAACGAGCCTAATCTCCTTTTTTAAACCCTTTCATTTCACTTATATAAAAACGCTTGCTCGTAAACCGCCCAAACAAATGCGCCCATTTTCAAATTTAATACAAAATATCTTCCAGTATCAATTATTGATTATTATATGAGTCATTCGAGCGATATCGATAACTATGGTAACATTTCACTGTGAGAGCTTCTTGCATCCGACACCTTTTTTCAAATTTATATGTAATGGTTACGGTAGATATGGACAAAATTTGCGATTTGAAAAAATTTGTCGCACTGTGGTACCACACATAATGTTCTGAGGCTAAAGTCTTCTTGTTCTTTCCATTGGAACTGCCTTAAAAATTGGTATAGATCGCTTATTTTAGCTTCAACCAAGGTAAGCCTGTCTTTATCCTTGTAATTTCTGGCATTATGACAACATATATTTATTAAAAAAAAGTCATCAGCCTTTCTGAATGTCATCAAATCACAATTATCCGTGAAATGCTTTCTTTTTCAGAGACTATAAACCCTGTGACATCTTCCGGTCACATCGCGGCCAAGTTTGTTTGAATTACATATCCCGAATTTTATTCTCGTTTGTTACGATTTTTCTATAATTGAATTCCTGAAGTAGGAGTTTGCAAGGTCAGAAACGCCCTAAAGCATTTTTTGTCTGCAAGAGCTTAACTCTTCGAGTTGGGTCTAAAAATTTAATCTCGTGCTTCAATCTAACCGTGAACAGCGATACAAACGGGTGATGATTTCAAAATGATACTCTTTCATGGCTCCCCTCAATCAGTCAAATAAAATGTAGATCTGCTAAAAATTTTGCACTGCTTTAAGCTTGGTCTCCAATATAGTTAAATTCTGTTTGAACAGGTCACAGCTCTTAGGAGAAAGTTCAAAAATGACACCACCCAGACTCGCCCCCAACTCACGTGCGATCACTCTGATTGCTGACTCGTTTAACTTCGTGCGCGGTTGACATTTTCAGACGAAGCCTTGTATCGGGCCGAATCTACGCCGCGCATAATGTTTCATATAATTAAATAATTTGCTTTCAATTAATTAATGAATTTATTGTCTGCAGTGCCGACTCAAAATTATTTATATAACAACTTTTTTATTTAGATTTTTATTATTTTTTGCTTTTTAGTGTTTCGGCGGTTTAAATGATTTTATAAGCTTTTATACATATCTGCAACATTTTAAATTAGTTTTTGTAATATAGCACTAGGAATGGCTATTGGAATATTTATGTGTGTACTTTACAGTATAATTGAATTCAGAATATTATTAACTAATTAACAATTTTCTATCTCTTGCCAGATCAATCTACCAAATCACCATTACTTATCCCTTTCCCCAGTTGGCAGGCACATAATCTTGCCGAACCAGACCCAGAGCTGGTTTCACCTTTTCGCATACGTGCTGATCGCTGCGGTCGTCTTTGGGTACTCGACTCACGTATCGCAGGCGTTTTAGAGAATACAACAATCTTTGGACCCGCTCAGCTATTGGTATACGATTTGCATAATGATGATCTCTTGCGCCGCTTCAAATTTCCTAATGGTCATATAAAGCAAGGTTCATTCTTTGCAAATTTGGCTATAGAGGACACTGATTGCGAGAATAGCTTCGCATATGCCGCTGATTTGGGTGCACCCGGTCTAGTTGTATACTCATGGAGTCAAGATGATTCCTGGCGCGTACAACATAACTTCTTCCATCCCGATCCTCTAGCAGGAAACTACAGCATAAGCGGCATAGAATTTCAATGGGATGATGGCTTATACGGTCTGGCACTATCGAAAGCACAACCAGATGGCTTTGCCACGCTCTACTTTCATCCACTAAGTTCAACAACCGAGTTTTCAGTTAGCACCAGTTTACTAAGGAATAAAACCTTAGCGACTTCAAATGAAATCTATCATGATTTCAAAATATTGGGAACACGTGGCTCGAACGGACAATCGGGCGCGGAATTCGTCGATCCGCGTACTGAAGTGCTATTTTATACTCTGCCAAATGTCAATGCTTTAGATTGTTGGAGCACAACGAATGCGGAGTATTCCAGCGATTCTCAAGGTCGCATTTACTCCAGCGCGCAGGAGTTAGTATTTCCCAGTGAAGTGAAAGTCGATGCCGAAGACAGATTGTGGGTGCTGTCAAATAAATTACAAGAATTCATTTATGATGAGCTCTATCCGGGCAGTGTTAATTACCGCATACTGACGGCGAATGTGGTGGACGCCATTGAAGGTACGGCGTGTGATACGAAGATGAAACCGTTGCCAGAAATTGTGGAAAACGAATTGGACAAGATACTGGATACAGTGATAAATAAAACAAATGATATCGCAACTGGCGGTGTGTCAGCGAGTACCTTTAGTATAATCTTATTTATAACGGCTGTTTTATTGAGTGTAAGTTAACTAAATACATACATATTTGCACAATAGTATACGAACAAAAGTTTGTGTGTAGTGAAGAGAATAATGTATTGTACATTTGTAAGTATATATGTACTCGTATATGTAAGTTAAATGTATTTATAAGCTTAAAAATAACAGTATGAAGACATAAAATTTTGTGCATAACGTCTGTACGGCAGCAATAACAAGAGAACTTAAATAAATCAATTTTAAATATTAAAATTTTGGACTTCAGTACTTAAATAGAATTTTCAAAAATTTTTGAAACAAAGAACTCAAAATAGCTTGCCTCCATAAAAAGTTCAATAGAACGCACACTAAGCATATTTCACTGAGTCCTTATACATTATATTCAGTGCGTGTTGCTATTTAACAGTAAATAATGCGTTAAAGCTTTTCAAAAAAGTGAAACTACCGAAAGACTAAAAAGAAAAAATTATTAAATTTTTTTAAAGCTTTGATAAAAAAGTCTTGAGCTATAGTAAGTATACTTGTTTAAGCTTGAGGGTAGAACGGAGAGAATGTCTACTATATTGGAGAGATGATGTTAAATCTCTTGAATTTATTCAACGAGCCGTTTGGCTCTTAAACGACTTCGGGAGTGAAATCAATTGAACGATATTAGAGTTGAACCGAGATGCCAATTCAATTTGTTACGTGGGGAATTTATTTAAGCGCCGTCGCTCTTCAAAAATGGTGGAGCGCGTGTGTGCTTGTGAGTCAAGCTTATAACGTTTAGAAACTGGCATGTTTCAACCGTTGGTGATGCTGTTAAGCGTCAAGGCAACCAAACATGCAAGCACACGTGCGGTGGCGGCGAGTATAAGAGGGGACTATTTTGAACATTCCCCAGAAAGCTCTAATTTTTTTGTGACCCCAATCTGAACAACTTAAAACCGTTTGCGGTGGTCGTCATCAAAAGGTGGGATCTCTCATCCGAGTTTTTATTGGTTTTTTCATTTTCGCTTATTTTTCTATGTGATGGGTCGCAGTCTCTACGGAAAACCGCAAGGTATTCACCTTCTCATTTAAGCTTGCCTCCAAACAGTTATTTGTTTGCTACGCAGAAGATACCGGGTATAAGACCGGAAGTTATGAGTTGATTGAACCATATGCAAAAGAATTGTTTCCCAGGTGGATTGCAGTTGAAAACTTTCCTTGACTTGCGTGAACTTATATGAGTACATGGTCACAGCCTCCATAAAACTGCTTCCGGCAGCACAGTAACGGACTGCCTATACACTGTTATTTCCGCAACTTATACGGCTGTGTAAACTGACTCTGGAAGGACCTTTCCGGGCTGTTCGGTATAAATGAGGTTTCAAACAGGATGATTATTTATTGTGTGATTTCGTCAATATGATGCTGGAGAAAATAATAAGAGCTGCAGAGTTAAATAGACAAGATACTATATTTTACAAGGATATACAACTGGTGGCGTATGCCGATTACATTGATATCATAGGCCTCAACAACTAGGATGTTGGTTCTGCTTTCTACAGACTTGATAAAGAAGTGAAGTGAATGGTTCTTGTAGTGAACGAGGGCAAGACGAAATATCTGCTGTCATCAAACAAACAGTCGTCCCATTCGCTACTTGGCTCTCGGCTCGCTGTTGACAGTCTTAACTTTGAGTTTGCGGATAATTTCGCCTATTTAGGGACCAGAATTAACACCAATAATGATGTCAGCCTTGAAATCTAACGCAAAATTACTCTTGCCAACCGGGGCTAATTTTTTCTCGACGAACAAAAAAACAAACTCTGCAAGGCCCTCATCATCCCCGTGCTATTATATGTCGCAGAAGCGTGGAAGATGTCAATATCTGATAAGTCGGCCATGGGAGCGAATGAAGAGACAGCGGCTATGCTGGCTAGGTCATATCGTCCAAATGGATGAAAGAACCCCAGCTTTGAAAGTATTCGATGTAGTACTCGCTGGTGGAAGCAGAGAGAGATGAAGAGACCTGCACTGCGTGTAAAGGATCAGGTGAATAGCGAACTGGTTTTACTAAATATTTCCAACTGCCGTCGAACAGCGATAATATGGGATGAATGGCGCGATATTGTTGATTCGGCTATAACCTCATAATACCTATTTTTCAGACTTGCATTAAAAATTTTCCTTTCTACCTTTCAATTATATTTGAGAACAAACTTTGGAGTGCTTATATATTTCACGTATTAATGGATAAAGTATCCCAATTGGACCAGGTGGTCGAAATAATTGAATCATCACCTCTTTCCACTTTCCTCCGATGAAAAATTGTCTTCCAACTGTCTAATGGATGTATTAAAAGCTAAAAAGGGTCCGGTAGTGACAACATTCGTGTGTTTGCAGCAACGAAACCGACCAACTAATTTACTTCACACCTATGCTGCCAATACAGTGATCAAGCTCGAAAGATGGAGAAGAGAGTTGTTGATAGAGAAAGGTAGAATACTTGTAAAAAGTGCTAAAATCAGCAATGTAAAGGAATAAATTTTCTTGTTGTTAACTTATGTTTTCGTTTAGACTTTATCTCCTCCATGATTTGGAGAACAATCGAAACTATAAAATCTAGGGGTTAGCGAGCGAAGTGGGTATATGTACGAGTATATGACGTGCATTATGAAATATCCAACTCAGGTAATGGAGAGGCAGTGTACTCCGAAGTACTCGGTAAAAGAGCTCGAAGAAGTATGACAATCGTCAGTGGTGTGCAATCTTTAAGCGGACTTACTAAGAAGAGCTGATGGTTTTTTATGAGGAGCTTTATATCATGTCAGAGAGACACTCGGAGGGGTTGGCATACCCTGATGAGTCTGATGAGTGGCGACCGTAATTAGAAAATTTAACTTAATTTTTTATTTAAATTCATTTTCTATAAAATTTGGTTGTTGGTTGCACCGGGATACAAGCCCGAGCATTCCGAATGTCAGTACGCAATGCTAACCACTCGGCTACCGCGGCCGCCATGCTGATATTAATACCATCTATGAAATGGACTTCAAGGGCCACTATCATCCGGGTCTTCTGTTTATTGGAATTTCTGAACAAAAGCGTTTAACAAAAAATATGTTTTCTCCAAACAATTAAAAAACGAAAACTATACTCTCCGTCCCGCTTTCCAGGCATTTCACTGTGTATTTTTTGTTTGGCACAGATGACGTTCTAGATTATCCAGCCACAGATAAATAAAATAGTATATTATATAATAAATGCATACTAGTTAAAACAAACATGGGTTTTATGCCCGTATAGTAGATAATTAAGACCTGACAAAGACCAAAGATGAAATATAGTGTACTTTAAAATTTCATACATTTCTCATTATCTTTGGATATGGTGGACATATCAAGAGTTGTGTCCGTTGTATCACTCCTTTGAGACTGTCGTTCCGCTTCATCTTGCAGTTGTTTCTCGTGTTTTAATTGCTTTTTAATCAAGCCACCACAGAAAAATAAGGTTAACTATGAATGGTAAGTGGTTGTGTTTAAGAAAATATTGTATATAAATATGTATTTTTACTTACATGCTCCAAAATACCAATCAGTCCCAGCACCGAAAGACCCAAGAGAAAACCCAATGATCCACCAATATCAGCAATGAATTGTGTAGTGTCATAACTAAGACGTTCCTCAATCATCTACTGACAAAAGATGTAAAGTGATAAGGTATGTATGTATGTGTATATTAAAGTGGATCGAACAACACAAATTTTAAAATCCGTCCAGACAGCATAAAATTAAAGCAAAAAAATAAAAATAAAATATCAGCCCTATCAGTCAATTATTTACTATCCCCAAATCGAGCCTAAAGTTTTGAAATTCGGATTTAATTGCATTAAAGAGAAATTATCAAAAAAAGGTTTCTTGATACGAAGAAGTGCAAGAATCCAGAAAAAAGAAAATCGCATATTTTTTTCGGCAGCGGTATGATGTCAACACCCTTAGCAACAGCAGATGAAATCACAACAGTTTTTCTTTTGGATAATCTTTACCGATCACTAACTCAGAAGATAGATTACGCTGAGGCGTTTTGGTCTTTCTTTTCTCTTTTCTACGGAAGGGCTTCAAAGTCCACTCTATCAATCGAATCCAGAAGAAATTGCCTTTATTTCGTAGAACTATTATATTGTATAACGGGTGATCAAAGTAGAGGTACTTTTTTCAGTAGCTTGTTTTTGACAGACCACGCTTGAGTCGTGCCAAGCTGTCAACTTACGTTTAACATAATCGGCCTACTGAGCTTACTATTCGCAACATTCGAATTTGCATTATTGGATAATATTCGACCGAATTCAACACGCAGTGAAGAAAATATAGCGGTCGTAGCTAAGAGTCTACACAAAGACCATGGAGAGTTGTTTCGCGCAGTTCGCAGCAATTTGGTCTGACGTATGAAACGTGCGTCGAGATCTTAAATTGAAACCGTACAAAATAAAGTTTGTACAAGAACTGATGCCGCTGGACCTTTCCAAGCGACATTGCTTCGCTTTATGGGTTCGTGAAAAATTCTAAGAAGATCCGAAGTTTTCGAGCCAAATTTCGTTCAGCAATGAGGCCGATTTCTGGCTTAATGGGTACGTAGAAAAAGCAAAATTGTCATATTTAGGACAAAGAGCAGCCTAAAGGGGTTCAAGAGTTGCCATTTCATCCAGAAAAAAAGAACGCATTGGTGTGGTTTGTGGTCCGGTGGAGTTATCGGTCAATATAGTGGTGGGAACGTAACCATTAAAGGCGAACGTTATCGCCCCATGATAACCGATTACTTGATGCCTGAAATTGAAGCTTGTGATCTCAGCGACAATTGGTTTCAACAAGATGGGCGCCACTTCCCACACATCACATCAATTAATGGTTTTACTGATAGATTAATTGGGTGAACACATGAATAATTTCACGTCCTGGGTCAGTACATTCGCCACCAAGATCATGTGGTATCACACCGTTCGATTTTCTTCTTGTAGGGATATGTAAAATCTAAAGTCAAAAAGGATCACCCTTTTATTTATCGTGGCAGTAACAGATCCAACTCAAAGGGTTGGATGTATCAATAGCACATTTGCTGGTCGCAAATTTAGTGCAGCCTTCAGGTCATCAGAGCATTGATTCTTGTTCCTTACGAAGAGACATAATCCTTTCGGTAACCTTTCGGTATATATCTAATACATATTCAGCTACGGTAATAACGGTAATAACACAAAGAAAGAACAGAGATAATGACGATAAATAATAGTCTTATAAGTAACTAAAGACACTTAAAGGGAGAGCCAACAATTCGTCGAGTCAAGACAATATAGAAGAATTCAGGGCTGTAATCGCGAGGGACACGCAGTGAAACGGCTTGACAATCCGCCTGCTTCACCCAATGCTATCGACTGCCGCACAGCAGGGAAGGGAAGAGGAAGGCGGACAGAGGGATATGGCTCATCACTTTCTGGTTGAAGCAAGTATCTATTGAATTAAGCTGCTTAACAAGTTATTCCAAAATTTCCAATTTCCAAGCCCATTCAATATTTTTGACTGGATTCTTGCATTTCTTAGTATGAAGTGATCTTTTTTATGGCCTTATTATTAATAAAAATAGGTCAGGTATAACGGCATGTATATTTGATGTACTCTTAAGATTCTAAAATTCATATTTTTCAATGTACACTGGTATATAATATACGCACATTAGATCGTATGATAGAAAAAAAATCTAGGCCGCCATACCGATACGATCTAATGTACATAAATATGCGAATTTGGAAATATTTTTTATATTTACCGTTACTAATTTTGTTGAGTAATATACCCATATTTGTGTGTATCTCTGTCCTGAATGAAGTGTTTTCCTACTTTGTATAAATGTTGAATATATGCGTGCATCGCAGGGACGTTTGCAATCGCATTCTATGTCTTCTTCACTATCGTAGTAGCTGAAAAAATGTGTAAAAACAATTGTATTACTTAAACTCAAAATTTTATCATTATTATTTATCACAATAAGTTTAAGTTTGTATAGAAGAGGTGTTAGATCAGGGAAATTTGCGGGATGATTCTGGATATCCCGTTCAAAGTAGGCAAGCACTCGCTTCTTGGTGTTGGCCGGGTGTGTTCTGGCATTGTCATGCAATAGGTAGACTTCTTTTGTCAGCATGCCTGGGCTTCTGTGATTGTTTCGTGTAGTAGAGATGTGGGAATTTGCGGAAACATTACAGAAAGCTCATTAACAGTCAATCGTCACTCAGTGGTCGGTTATCTGTTCATCATGCATAGATTTATGACCATTTTTAAACTCGTGACATCACTTGTACACACTCGTACGATTCATAGCTTTATCAGCATATACTGTTTTTAACTCATTATAAATCTCAAACAAAGGTTTTCCCGCTCAGGCGAGATAGGTTTTGCATACTGATGACGCCGCGTATTACTCACTTGACAGGAGGCTGGATTGACAAAGTTCACCGAACTTGTTTGTAGCATCGACAGTTCTCAACGTACTGACCTCGAGCCGGTCTCATTGAAAAGGGGAGTAGTTTGGCAATTCTACCGTCAGAATCGCACTACACTTACTTTCTGAATATGCCTCGAATATGGACGCTCTATCATATTTAGTTTACTTACACTCCATAGTTTTTGATTAAATTCCGCATTGACTTGCTATTGTTGCACGGATTCTGCGCGACACCATTCATCCATGGGCCTGTGCAATTGCTTTCAGTGGCTAAATCTTGGAACACACACAACTCGGCGCACTAGAAAAATAGTAAAAGTTCTGTATTACATTTATCAAGTTAAAGCTAAAGTAAACATAATCAAAAATAAAATGATTTCTGGGTAAAGTTGAGTCAAACTCAAGGCCTTATTCTCCAGTAAAAAAAGTTAAACATATATTTCTTCGCTTTATAACCATTGAAGTGATTGTAGGCCGAGATCCTCCTTAAATTTGTGGTAAGCGTTTTTATTCGCTTTCCAATAAATGAAGGGTACGACAGCTTATACTAAGCCGCCTTCGAATGGCCGAAGGATTTTTAAGAAGAGTTTTTTGTTTCAACTCAGAAATACACTAAAAAATTATTTGCTATGATTTTGTCTGTTGGTCGAACCCGGATTCGTACCATGACGTTCCGAATGCTCCCACTAGTTTTTACCTAGTAAATCATAATTTTAGTTTTTAAACTATTAAGGCTCGTCATTAAGAATAATTTACAAGTTAAAAAAAATGTCATCAAAAAAAACTTTTATGTTGGAACATAATGCCACAGGCGCCTATTTTTCAAAATCAATATAAAAAAACAAACAAAAAATTAATTTCTCCACATTTGCGACGTCTGCGTTTTTCCACTTCAGGTTTCTTCGACGACACTCGCAGAGACCGCAGACGGGCACGTGTACTGTCCTACGGCATACATATGTTCTTTCGATATCTAGTCTTAAGCTATTGGAGGAAGAGTTCCAATGATATATCCAATCATAATCAGTGAGGCTTGACATCTCCAACAAAACTTCTTCTATACATGCTGCGACAGCCGTGCGCGAAATGCCCGTCTTTTTCACACCGTCTGCATGCTGGTGGATGGCCTGTCATTTGTGCCTCTCAACGGCGTTCTGCCCTCATCACCACGCCTCGGTTCTGGTCCGCACGTAGGTATTGGTAGCACACTCTTCCTCTCGATACACTTGAGGTTCTACTACTGCTTTTGAACCTCCTCACCCGTCCTCGTTCTTCGGTGCTATGAGAATACCTGTAGCATCCTGCCTATCCCTCACTTGCTCTTATGAACTACTAACTTTCTTCTCTTCTAACGGTTTTACTATTGTGTCCGACCTCCTCGGCTTGATTCGTCTCTATTCTGTATGTATGTATGTATGTATTAATCACGATTTTCTCATTGTCGTGGTGCAAACGGCTACTCTGTTGCCTTAACGGCTCTCTCTCAATGGGAATACTCGCGATATATTTATATATATAGGTAAGATCTTCCGAGAATATGATGTCTAACCTCACTGAGCGATGAAAGACGTATTATACCTCCGATTGTAGGCTCATTGTGGGCTCGTATTCCTAATGGAAGTCGATTTAAAAGGTGTCGAAATCCCCGTGCGACCAACATTGAAGAAAGTTAATTTAAATAAAAAAACTAAGTTAGATTTTCTAATTACGGTTGCCCCTTATCAGTGTATGCCAACCCCTCCGATGATATAAAGCTCCTCATAAAAAAAAACCATCCGCCGTTCGAAGGAGGCTTAGTATAAACTGTAGGTCCCTCCGTTTGTTGGAAAAACATCAAGACGCAAAACCACAAATTGGAGGAGGAGCTCGGCCGAAAATCGCTTCAGCGGTTACAAAGCGCCGAATATATATATATATATATATTATATATATATATATATATATATATATAGAAGGAAACCTAGTATTAGTACTAATTATGAAATGGAAAACGTTTCGATTCTAATGAGCCTAGTCAACCCCCTACAACCCGCTTTCCCGTAATACGAAAAGATGTTTTTCTTTCCTTTGGATTTAAGCCATAACATTCACTTCATAAATTTCTTCGTACATAAATACATACATACTTAACCAAACTAATTAACAATACCTCCATATCACTGTAGTTTATTGAGGAAGAGCATGGCGCGTCTCGGGACTCAATATTTTTGAATTGCTGACTTTGTAATTTAATTTCGATATCCTCGTCAATTTCGGCAAATATATATTCTGTACGCGCAGAGCCTTTTACATTGAGCTCTAGGGAAAAGAAAGCAAATTTTTTATGTTTATTTCAAATTCACATACATATGTAGGTGTGTACTAGTTCGTTTCAAACTGCATTGAAATTAATTTAATTTACCTGTAAAATTATGCCGATAATCGTGTATATAAATATGCCATCCCGGATTTTCTTCCATCATATCCGTATTTGTACCTGAATTGATGTGATGCGTAAGCATCAGCGAATAACCAGAAGTACGCGTCGTACGTTTCAACTCCACTTTAGGCTTCAGTGTAAAGCAGCGTCCCAGGTAGAAATGTAAGCGGCTCGTTATTTCTAAGTCTATAGTTCCCATTGGTGAATAAAAGGTAGAAGGTAGGGTATTTGGAAATTAATTTTGTATAAAAGTTTTCCATTTCAACTTACTCTCCGCCAACCCGTCGAGGCCATACTGTTCCCCGAGAAATGTCTCTTCAAAATCGAATGTTGAATTTTTGAAAAATTCATCAATCTCCAATTCATTGAAAGGATACTTATTCCAACAGGTTACATATTTTGGATGTGGGCACTCACCTCTGGATAGATTCTATGAGTAAGTATATTTTTAACACACATATGTACAGACATATATATGTGCATATATAGAATGTATAGAAAATTTGTAATTATTTTTCTTATAGTAAATATTTTAATGTTTTCGAAGTTGGTTTTGTTTTGTTTCAGTTTTATTTTGTATATACTTATATAGTATATATATAATTGGCACGTTGTAACCGCTGAAGCGATTATAGGTCTAGATTTTACTTCAATTTTTTGTTGATATTTTCCAACAAATGGAGGGACCTACAGTTTATTCTGAGCCTACTCTTAACGCTAAATATTTTATTATGAGAAACTTTTATTTCATGTCAGAAATAAACGCAGAGGTCTTTTATATTCTCTGTCGAGGGACGACCTGGAGTTGGAGCAAGAAACAAGAGCTGTCCTCGGCCGTTACATTATTTTATTAATATATTAATATTATATCTGAAAAATTGGTTGAATCCGATTTTGAAGATTCTCGGTGCCAATGTTTATTTGTATATGGCTGTGCGGATTATCAGATCTCATGAATCTAGATGCTTTTTTGGAAAATTTATGATTCAAAATCTCAAAAAGTGAAGGAACTGGTCATATATATGTTATAGTGTTGCACCGATCTTGATGGTTTCGAAAACTGTTCCTTTAAATGTACCAACCAGAAACTGCGTACAAACAGATAGATAGACATACTGCAAATGAGCATGGCTACATGTACTTAACTTGTCATTCTGATCCTATCAACAAAAATGTTGGTATCATTTTTGAGTCTATCTCTTCTTATTTTGGTACTTAATTTGTGCTTCGGACCAAAGTTAATATACCATTTCATGTACATAAAATATAAGGTTGTCAAATATCTCCCTTCCGCTTTTTTGTGTTTTGAATCTCGCGGCTATGTACAAAGCGCTACAGAGCTCGTATCTGGCAACACTATACATAATTTGAAAGGTCTTGACATAACCTACAAAACAACGCTGGGCATGATTAGTTTGGATATTGCGTTCAACAGCGCCGAAATTCGCGCTATTTTAAAGTTTTCCTTCGTTAAAGGCAAATCCGCTAGAGAAACGTTCTGTGAGATTAATGGTGTTTTGGGGGATGGTTTCGAAGATTCAGAGCCGGTGAAAACGACACCATGGATAAGCCAGCCGGCGGAAGACCTGTGACGACAAATACCGATCAAATCATGGAATACATCGAGTTAGACCGGCATATGGCATCTCGTGACATCGCCCAGGAGATGGGAGTTAGTCACCAAACCATTTTGAACCATCTGCAGAAGGCTGGATACAAAAAAAAGTTTGATGTTTGGGTGCCGCATAATTTGACGCAAAAAAAAACCTTCTGGACCGAATCAACGCCTGCGATATGCTGCTGAAACGGAACGAATCGTCCCAAACAGTGGCCAAGCCGGGATTGAAGGCCAGGAAGGTTTTGCTGTGTGTTTGGTGGGATTGGAAGGGAATCATCCACTATGAGCTGCTCCCATATGGCCAGACGCTTAATTCTACCATCTACTGCGAACAACTGGACCGCTTGAAGCAGGCGATCGACCAGAAGCGTCCAGAATTGGCCAACAGGAAGGGTGTAGTGTTCCACCAGGACAACGCCAGACCACACACTTCGTTGATGACTCGTCAGAAGCTACGGGAGCTCGGATGGGAGGTTTTATCGCATCCACCATATAGCCCGGACGTAGCGCCAAGTGATTACCACCTGTTCCTGTCCATGGCGAATGCCCTTGGTGGTGTGAAGTTGAACTCAAAAGAGGCTTGTGAAAAGTGGCTGTCCGAATTCTTCGCAAATAAGGAGGAGGGCTTCTACGAGGAAGGTATTATGAAGTTGCCGTCTAGATAGAAACAGATCATCGAAAAAACGGCGCATATTTTAACTAAATCCGATCACTGTACCACTTTTTCTAAAGCATTGAATGAAGTTTCTATAATTTTTGTATGTTGGTCGAACCAGGGCCCGAAACCTGGGCTGTCTTCATTATTGGTTCGAGGAATATTTTCTCATGGGGTTTTTCCAATGATTTGGCGCATGGTGAATATTCAGTCAGTGGCATAAGGGCTGCTAACTACATATATGGCGAGTTTTCCCACAATACGTTAGATAATGTGTTGCGATATTGAAAATACATATCCCAGGATTATAGTGTATGCACTATTCGTGGATTATCCAGAACGTAATACATACAAGTAGATTCAAGTCAGCAGGTATGCTCGCTATCGTTTGATTTACGTGAAATTTGGTCCAAAAGATAACTTTATATTTCATTGGGGGGCACTTCTTCAGGGAAGTGAGGCTGCAGTCGATCTTTCAAAATTTATTATTTTTTGGTTCGGTTTTGTTTAATATTTGGGACATATATATAAATGTAGATGGCCAAGGTGGAATGTAGAAAGCTTTACTTTGTGGGACCGATATATTGGAAAAATTTAAAACAAAGATAGCTCTGGCACTAGACTAATATTGTCCTCCTTTTTAAAACGTTTTAACATAATAATTTAATATTTATAATGTAATAACTTAAATAACATAAAAACTCAATAAAAAGTCTGATTGAAACCATCTTGAAATTGCACGAGAACCAAGTCGCGGACGAACTGTAGCATTACAATAAAATAACATAAGGAGAAGGTGGATAAATCAAGGTTAAATCGTTAAAACTTTCCAACAGTTTTCTTTCCTGAACATGAAATGGTATATTAACTTTAACCCGAATTATGTAAGTACCAGAGATGGTAGGGTTAGACCCATCAAAATTTATGTAGCTCGGATGAGAATGATGAGTTGAGTTCATTTAGCCATGCACGCCTGTCCTACTGTTTGTACACAAACTAGTCCTTCAACCAAACTTGGCCGTATACCTGCATGCGTCTCTATCTCGACGTTCTCAAAAAATGGTAGTTTCTTACGGCACATTACGGCGTAATTTTACATATAAAGTCCAGCTCACACAATATCGTCAGCGATGAGGTACATTTTTCACTAGGAGGATACATGAAAGGTGAAATCGTAGTACTCGGGTCTCCGAGAATAATCAAATGATTGAAGAGAGACCGTAATACAAGAAAAAAAATTTTGTCTAGTGGGCGCTTTGGTTCGGAGGTGCGACTGGATCAGCGAGACTGTGTGGGCATTATGGGCGTATGATAACTGACTAATTTTTGTACTGTAATTCAAGAATACAACTTGGACAATATGTGATTCCAAAAAGATGATGCCACATGTCACATAACAATTAGCAATTATCTCGCTGGCGAAGTCAATTGGCCACCGAGATCGAGCGATTTGACACGGTTGGACTTTTTTGTGGGGCTACGTGTCAGACCTTTACGTAGATAAATCTTTAATTTTTGAGCACCGAGAAACCGACATTCTTCAAGTTATGGCTGACTGCCGAATATGTGCCAAAAAATTTTCCAAAATTAGTTCAAACGGATCGAAGCGAAAATTTGCAAAGCGATCAAAGGACGTCGTTTCCGGTGACTCCTTGCAAACACAAGCGTCAGGGTTGGGAGTAGAACACATGGCACGATCAGCGAAAGAAAAATAAAAATGTGAAAGAAGAGGTGTCTTTATGTTTTTCGTGATCATATCTAATTGATGGTGGAAATTCCCCGATTATGATAATTCTCGGTATAAATGTTCAGTTGTATTTACGTGTGCAGGAAACCAATTTTTATATTTGTAGAAAGTCTTTTGACAAATGTATGATCCCAAATCCCCCCTCTAATTACCCTTTCACATGCAAATTTTTCTTCTTTGATTTCGAGACATATGCTTACAACAACGTATTTGCAGAACTTACATTTAGCACATCCTCTTTGTAGGGTGGATCACGGCAAATGGTGACAGCGGGCATTTCCATAGTGTCATTCAAATTGAAATAGGAATGAGTTGATATCGGTGGATTGTAGAGTTTGGAAAAGCAATCGGAAAGCTGTTTGAGATAGGATCATACAATTTGTTTTATTTTTGTTTTTTTTTCATTATCTTAAATATTGGGATGTTTATTTATTGATTTTCTACCTGCACAATCACAATTATCGAACACACAAAAAGAACTAAATAGCGAATAAGTTTGCCAGGATCTCTTAATATCCAAGCCCACAATTCTGACCAATAGCCCATAATTTTTACACAATAATTGTTTACCGTTAAAGCGATAATAAAGAATGTTTTATACGTCTTTCAAAACACAATCCCGAGTTCATACTGAATAGCCGAGCAAGCGTCGTTTGTACTCGTACATCTGTTGGCGCATTGTTTTTCGCAATTACAAGACATCTTGCATGATTTCCCACGCCAAGTCTCGTTTGTCAATAGATAAAGCTAATGATTTATATCCATATCCGTAGAACGTTTTGCTTAGCTTTCCTCGTAACGCTTTGATCAATTGAAATGCTATGTGGATAATTTGAATAGCTGATGACAAAACAAACATGTTAAATGATAAGACTTGGAAAGTGGTCGCTACCAGTGAAAGTGATATGGAAATATTAACGGCTCTAATTGTAAATCAGCACATATGTAAGTTATTCGTAAATGAAAGGCATATAAGTTCAGATTTGAAAAAGTATGATGAAACGATTCTGCAACTATTAGATCAAACAACAAATACCCTCCAAGCGGCTGTCATTCCAACAGCACGTGTATGTCAAGAATGATGACTGAAAATTTAAAGAATTGAAAATCCACAAATAAACCAACAAAAAAAAACGAAAGTGCACCTTCATGACATTTGCTGACGTAGACGGAGCTTTTAACAATGCAAACGATGCCCCAATCCACTCAATCGTTTAATTTGGCACCAGCCAGAACCTATCTGCTTGGTTGGGGCATAATATGTTGAACAAAAAGGGGAAAGTTGTTAAAATTATTCATGGGCATTTCATTGGCATTCTACATTGCCTCCGCTACAGTGAGTTCCCTTGATAAACTTTAGCTGCTTTGGAGAGCCTTAACCCTAGAGAAGGCGCGCTACGCAGTGACCCGGAAAGGAAACCATCTGCGAGGTGCATGCCACCTACTCCTTCCCTAGCAAGAAAGATTGGGCGTAAGGCAAGTAATGCTGAATCCACATCTATACTGATGGATCTACAATAAATACAAGGCAGAGTTCTTCTGCGAACGCTCCAAAAACCAAGTTAGCCTCAAGCTATATTTGAGTGTTATTGAAGGCACCAAATGAGCGATTGCTTCAATAGGACAATTTATCAGTATGTGAGAGACCATAAGAGAGCATACAATAGAAGCAATAAACAGATTGGTCCCAGATAACACGAATGTTGAAGGTAATGAAAATCCGGATGAGCTAGGTCGCGCTGACGATACTGTGACCATTGACTGCATTAACAGTGGATCATGGGTTCTCTAACGAAGAGCGTACCACTAAACAACCGTGGGGCAGCGTATATTGCAGACAGATTAAACTCTTGCTAGCAATAAACAAAAGAGAATTCAAGTATTTTTGTAGGTATACTGACGGGGCATCTATTCCTAAGAAATCAACCCTAAAAGCTAAGTAAAATACAATTCGTAGTACAGAGCCTTCTTAGAGTATGACGAAATATTGGAAGATTACCATTAGAAGTCCTCGACTTTCAGCCATTGAGACGGAAATCTATCACGTTGATTCGAGCTCCAACTATATGAAGATGGGTGCCCGGCGAAAATGGCGAAATGGCCCCTCGCTGTCACTTGCTCTTTTCCTCTTTCAACCAACCACACCCTGAAAAGCTGAAGTTTGAAAGAAAAATGATACAAGTTTAACAAAATAACCTCACAACGCAAAAGAGGCAATGCAAATATACTCACCAAGGCGGCCAAGTGTCTCGGCATAGTTTTTGATAAAAAAAATCTTAACTAGAGAGAACCTGTTGAAAGCAGGCTCATTGTACAAAACTGGAAGATCCCAAATGTTGTGTTGATTTAGTATGGTGCACGGCACTAAAGAAGAATATATGTGCATAGCAGCCACCATGAGAACTGACTTAATAAAACCCTTGGAACTCATATTTACCATCATTCAAAAAAAAAAATGTATAATTGTCGTATGAAGCCGCAGCAAGCCACAAATAGCTAACTCAGAGCTCTATGCATTTGGCCACAATCCCTGCTATGACGGTAAGTCCAGCATACCAAAAGTTCTAACAGAGCTCGGAGTAAACGTACAATATGACCGGATAAAGGACACTTTTCGACAAGAGCGAAAAACACCCACACCAACCGAAATAAAAAGCTCCTCATGAAAGTCCATACATTACAAATTGGAAGAGAAGCTGGATCGGGAATCACTTAAAAGGTTATAAAATTGGAGGAGGAGCGGAGGCGGAAAATCCCTTCAGCGGTTAAAAAGCGCCAATTATATATTCATGTATACACGCACAAAGATTTTCAAATATTTTTAAATTCACTCATCGCAGGCAATAATCGATATTTTCATATTTGGATTTACATCATTTTTATTCAAAGCTGCTATCTATGCATATATAAATCTCGCAGAGCCATCTGTTTATTATGTTGTCGATGACGGCTTAGCTCTACATATACATATGTTTTGGCGCTGCAAAAGCATTGCGTACTCCCATTCTGAAGGCCAGTGTTCCAGTCCAGTCAACATCCAAAATGGCAGAAAATTAAATAAAATTAATTAATTAATTGCAGTTTCCACTCGGCAGGAAATCTCTGAGATTTAATAAAAATTTCTCATAAGAAAAGAAATATCAGCCGTCTATAGGTTTCACTCCTTCTTGGAAAGACATCCAGCTTTTTCTTCTTTGCTTCAATAGAAGCCGCTTATGCGTTGCAGTCGGATCTACAACAGCGCGCCATTTGTTCCTTCTATTCGCAGTTTGGTGTCGTTATTAAATACCAAGTGAAACCAGGTCACTCTCCACCTGATCCTTCCACATAAATGCAGGTTTTTCTCTTCCTCTGCTTTCACCAGTGGTTGCTGCATCGAATACTTTCAATGCTGGTGTGCTATCATCCATTCGTCAGCAGAACACACGACACGGTTGTTAAGGCCAGTGATATCAGCGCTGGCTAGGCCTTGTGGTCGAAATTGGAAAGAACACTGCAGCTTTGATAGTTTTCGACGCAGTACTCGCTGGTGAAAGCAGAGGATGATGAAGACCTTCACTCCGTTGGAGAGACCAGGTAGAAAAGGACCTGATTGTACTTGGCATCTCCAATTGGCGTCAAATAGCGAAAGGAAGCATTTGAATAGCGCAATGTACTTTTTGAAAGCTATTTATATGTATATGTAAGTACGTTTTAAGTCGAAATAGCTTCACGTCCTTTTTGCGCTTCCCGTGTTGTTGTTGTTTAGCTATTAGAAAGTGAGAAGGTTGCTAAAACAAAATTGTCTCTTTGAACGCCTAATGGAATGCAACGAAAAGTAAGGTTTTCTAAAGTATATGATCTCCCAAAATTATGCAATGACTTCGAGTTAATTTCCTGTTTACTGGTATACCAACCATCTTTTAATTGCAGCAACTTCCGTCTGAGTTATGATCGCCTGGTAGATTATGAGAAATGTGTACATTTCCTGCACGCAGCGATAAAAAGGATGGAAGAAGAAGGAATGGCGCGATGTTATAAATTCGGCTAAAATCGCGTAAGCGGTTCTACGCCGCCAGTAAGTAAATAAGTACCATCTCTATTCAGCTCTGCAGCTTGTATTATTTTCTCCAGTCGCCGCGGTAGCCGAGGGGTTAGCATTGCGTACTGCGTTCGGAAGGCTCGGGTTCAAAACCCCTTGCGACGAACATTGAAGAAAGTTAATTTAAATAAAAACTAAGTTAAATTGTCTAATTACGGTCGCGCCTCATCAGGGTATGCCAAACTTTCCAAGTGTCTCTCTGACATGATGAAAACTCCTCATAAAAAAAAACCATCAGCCGTTCGGAGGCGGCTTAGTATAAACTGTAGGTCCTTCCATTTGTTGGAAAAACATCAAGACGCAAAACCACAAATTGGAAGAGAAGCTCGGCCGAAAATCGCTTTAGCGGCTACAAAGCGCCACTTATGTATATAATAAATCAAAAAAGAGATGGAGATTTTGGTATTGCTTAGCGTCAGTTTACACAACCATATAAGTTTTGCGGGGATACCAAACTTAGACAAAGCGACGTGGAGGCGCTCATATCAATGCTGTTGAAGGCTGCTTTAAAATCGACGATCCACTTTCCTAGAGTCTTTTTCAAGATTTGGCACTTGGTGAATATCTGGACACTTGTGTGTGAATTTGACAGGATGGTGGGCTTTATTAGTATTGCACACAATAACGTTTCATAGGACTTCATATGCGATATTAAGGAGGCTGATCCCACGGTAATTGGCGCATGCTTTAGTATCCTCCTCTTTGTGGATTGAACAGAGCACACTTAGGTTCCAATTTCGTCCGAAAATATTCTAAAAAAAAAAATCATGAAATTTTGTTGTCTGTTCTTCCCCGCCGTATTTAAATAGCTTGACCGCAATCCATCGGCCCTCCGAGTGTCTTTGTCGTTTTTCAAGCGAGCATGTACTATACAAATCGCTAATAATGAAATTACAACTGCTGAGTGGAACAAACGACCAGTATATTGTTCTGCGGGACTTTCTAATATTATTATTGCTCGTATTCCCTGAGTTTTGTTTTAGAAAGTTTACTTTGAATGATATGAATGTTAGTTTCCTTCAATTACATAATTTTTGCATATCGGAAACATAATGATTTTAGATATGGTAAGTTTCAAAATAGGTGAGGTGTTCTTTCACACTTCTTCTTCTTCTTGTTCTTCGTCTTACGTATCCATAATAATATTGCAGATAAACTCGTCGCGGCTGTAATTAATAAATAAATTCATAAATAACTGCACC